TTCTTCCTTTCTTTTCTCCTCAGCTTTAGGATACTCGTTGCAGTCGCTCAGCTAGTTGTCAATACACTGAGTTGAGACCGTTACAAAGACTCACGTTGCACATTGACTTTCCCTGATGGTCGAAGCCGAGTTTCTTTCCAACTGTTGGGCATTAGCATATCCTGGACCTGATACGGCACGCGCACTAACATGTCCATCCACGTGTGCCCTCTGAATGTGCAGAGGCTGGAGGCGTACTCGTGAAGGTCCTATTGGACGGTCCGCATTAACGACTTAGGGGAGCCCATATGTCAACAGCAAGCGCTCTTTCCCAGCTAGTAGACACGACAGCGTTGGTTAGTTGTGCATGGTAATGCACATTAGAGCTATTGTGCGTCAAATCCGTCGTTACATTTAGCTCAATTGGTCTCAATCGCAGCTCCCGGCTAGTCATAAGAAGCTGGACATTGTGTCAGTCTTTTGATAGAAAAATAAGTCTGTTTCGTCGCCCGATTCACAGGGGACTTTCCTCCCGGTCATCAGCTTGTTATGCATCAGTGCCGTGCACCATACAAGGAAGTAATAAGAGTATTCGTTGCCATGCGTCGCCATGCAGGTACGTCGGCTGTGCACGCTGCGCATGATGAGCCACGCTGTAACGTGGTTACACCCCTGGCGTGGTTTGCCCCTATCCGGGTATGAATCAGGGGGTCACTTACAACCCCCCTTGATCGGCCAGGTGACGTGGCTCGGCTTGTTATTCTCGCACAACTGGATGAAGTGCAAGTTGGATGTGACCAGGACCGATGAGTATTACTAGAGGGGTGTCGCACAGAGAGAGGCCTCCACTGGAGTGAGCAGCTGTCGGCGGGTAAAGTTACGCACCAGGTCGAATATGTCCCGCGAGTGACGATCGGGGAACCCTTCTGGGGTATATATTTAGACGGCCGTAGATCAAATTACAGGTTCAAGGGGAGCACAATGTACAACACACAACTTGTCCAGGGGAAGCGAATCCAGGGGCAACGATGGGTTTTTTGCCCGAAACACGGGCTCGTCCGTCACAGTACGCCACGTCCCAGATCGGCGATTATTTTCAATAATCCAGAGTCATGTCAGCCATTCCCCGTCTGCACGACGTCGTGACGCGTCACAGATTCAGCCTGCGAGGAATATAGAGGCCTTGCGCTCCAAAGGTCTGCAGGGCTGCTCATACTGTGACAGGGGCCTAGTTTGCGGCTGGCGCCGTGGATCCGGTACAGGTGGCGGAAGCGACAGTCGAAACGCCGCTCCTTCGTATCCAATGTCTCACGCGCTTCCCTTGCCGTACCTTCTGTTCTGAGGTCATGACTCACCACCTAAACAGCGCAGTGCTGGCAAGAGCGACACGAGAAGTGCATGTGATCAAGTAACCACAACTCACTGCTTGCCTCGGGTTATTCCGTAGCGAAGACACACAACATCCTCCAACCTGATGCGTCGAAAAGCCAAGGATAGGTATCCGAGCGACATTCGAGCCAAACTATCCACGACATCACGGCGACGAGGCAGAATAGAGACGACTTCCTTGTCTGCACTTGCGGCCTAGACCCGGCTTTTTCGCGTAAGAGTTCTCACTTTCATCGACGACATGGCCTTGAACTACAATCACACTCGCGCGGGCCATGCAAGGGACCGCCTATACAACCGAACACCCCGTAGGGTACTATCCATAAGCCACGGGCCTACATTTCCCCGAAATATGGGATGACCCGAGTGCCATGCGCCGCCACCGTTTGGAAGGCTTCTAACTTTGGAGGTTTTACTGCCCACCCACCTGACGGGTGGGACTCGTACCGAGCTGCAACTTGTGCCAATACTTGGTAGTTACTCGAAGTTGGGAATGCGGACTTTTGAATCGACATCGGGAGGGTCCCAGCATGTCTCCGTCCGAGTATCTGCACGGAATGCCCTTGTTTTGACGAAAAACAAGCTGCCGAAGAGGGTCCTAACGGAGAGGCACCAGGTGAGAATCGAGCCAGGACCGAGAGTCTGCGATTGGGGCACCCCATTAGTCGTTGGCTCGCAAGCCTTGCAGCTACCAAGGTCGTTGTGGCAGTGTTCGGAGTGATGTCCAGAACCAGCTGGGTCGAGGATGTTGTGCCCGAAATGCGCCAGCAAGTGGCTGGCGGCAACCGTAGCCCTCTGGAATGCTCGTGTCAAAATAACCGTTGCCAAAGCTGGTGGGCCGCGGATCATTCTCATTACGAGAAGGGTGGCGCCATGCTCCAGTCAAGATAAGCTGGAGAAACTGTGTGGCTTGTGAGGACGCGTTTGTTTCTTTGGTCAACATACGAGATGTGGCAGATCCGTCGCTTTGATTTCCGTTTCGACCGTCACCCACGTGCAACCATTAACTGCGCAGGCAGTCAGGCTAGCTAGCAATTCGAATCAACCGGCATGCTCGGTCCGTTCTTTGCAGCTCTGTGTTTGAGTCGCTGCAGACAATTCAGCTTCTACCTGCAATGCCGCAAGTGCCTCCGGCCGACCGAAAGCTCGGCGTAACCGGATACAAGTACACAAATATCGACATCCCTCAGTAACTCTATCTGGAGTCAGTGGTTGCCCAATTCCTAAGGGAACTATCCCTCCAGGTCGTCTGTCAGTTATTAGCATGTGCTGGGCGACCTTGCAGCGTCAATTAGCCTAGTTTACACTCGTTCTCGACCCAGCCACGATGCCGACACTGCGGAACATGCATGACGCGACGGCTCTTGGCTTGAACATTAACCAGCACAGTCACAAAGGTTTGACGTCGGAAATAAATAGACTCCATACTTCTACAACGGCGTAGGCAATTAGAACTTGTCGTCCTGTTCAGTATCGGCATCGTTACTGGCCAAGAGAGAGCGCGACTCAATGAAATCGACAAAAACGGGGGCTTTGTGGTCGCCCCTATGTGGAGGAGCTGGCGCACCAGGCTATGAGCCCTGGCGAAAAGCCAAACTCAGTTCCTGGGGGGACGGTCTGCCGGCGCCAACTCGTGCGCCAAACCTTGGGGCAGTTCGAGCTTGGCCTTTCAAGGAAGGAGACACATCGACGGTGTGCGGCGGTGTAAGACGTCGCTCCTGTAATGTACGATGCGGCAAGCAAGGGCCCGTTCGGGAGAGCGATGGCCACGACTGGTCTGCGAGTACCTGGTAATACCGGCAAACAAAAGTGTGATGCGAAATCGCGAAGCACTTTGTGCGTGATGGAGCCATCGTTGGCCTACGTCCGCAGAGCAGGCGAGGAATTGCAATGAATAAAGTCAGAAAAGGCGCAGTACGAGCCCTTCACCAAATCCGTCGTCGCCTTGAGCAGCGAGTCAAGCTAATCGCCAGACCTCAACTCCAAGAACGACTTGGACAGTCGAGCATGGCAGCGAATGAGAGCCGCGGCTGGCCACGGGCTACGCACTTCGGTCAGCAAGGTGTGAAATAAGTGAAGCGACCGGAACGGGGCCTGGTTCGTTTCGGAGATACACGTGAGGATTGCCTCCTTTTCGGATTGAGCAAAGTCTACCAAGGTTCGGAATTGGGTGCTTTCTTGGATATCGGTAGACGGGAGTTTGTACACCACCGCCAAGAGGTCTCGCAAATTGTCGACGGAAGTTGACGATTGTGGCTCCACTTGATTGGCAATGCTTTCAAGAACAGTCGCTCTCTCGAATGCCGAAACTTCTGGCGCGGCCATCAGCGCGAGTGCCGATTTAGAGCGTGCTGGACAAGAATACAAGGAGCTCGATAGGGCATGACAGATGACTGATAAGAGTGAAACCAAGGCGAGAAACAGGCTTCAGCGTTGGCTTTCTGAAGTTGCAAAGATTATACGCCAGTCAAGGTGTATGGAAGGCTAACCCGCACTGAGTATACGAAACCGGGCACGAAACGCGGTATGTGAGGCTCAAGGTTAATCGAATTGGACTGGTCTAAACAATCGCTGCACTCGGCCTGCCGCACCTAGCGCTTTGTGAATGGCGGACCTCACGGAGCCGCCTGTTCTGGAAGCCACCCGACTAGTGTTCTTCAGGTCCTTCACCAATGCATACTAGAGAGGGTTATCGGGCATCAGTTGACGCTGTCAGGTCCGTGCACCGGGGCACCTATTCGACTTTTCGCATTCGTCTCCCTCAACATATTCACCGATGTAATGCTGCTGGTTTATCCTGTACCTTGGATTCTATCCCTTAAGCACACTTCTCTGAAACGGTGCAGTACAAAGACGAATCTCTAAAGAAAGGAATTAACCTGAAGCTCACTTATCCTATCTGGCTGCAGTTAATCGGCCCTTTCTCCATGGGCATCCTCCTCATCGCTATTGCTTTTGTGAGGCTTCTTGTGCACCGCCACGGCACTTCGCAAGTCCGGCGGTTCACTTGGGGTTCGGTGGAAGAGTTCGGTGCGGCGCTGGTGGCTAACCTACCAACTCTCTACGGCCTGCGCAAAAACAAAAATTCGAAGGGCAATCTCACGATTATGGCTGAAGAGTCACGCAATTGCGCGCGCCTGGCATGTTCGCTACCTTCAGATGGAATATCGGGGTTCGAATTGGTAGCTGGCTCGCGGCCAGTTTCTGCCTTTCAGTAGAGGGTTGCATTGCACAGTAATTGATCGGTCTGAAGCCGTAGTCACAGAGCTCAATATCCTAGGCTGCCAATAGTGCCGTGGCCAACGAGAGTATGCCATGCGACACTTTGTTGGACCGGCTCTCGCTTTGGCACCCTAGATTGTAAGATGCTCAGGGCAGTACTCATCGCTGCGTTCCTTCCGCATACGACAGTTTCGAGTGAACGACTCATGTGGCCCACCGCAGGGCACGCACTTTGGTGGCGCCGCTTGGCACCC